TCACAAATTTTGTGCTCTTGTAGTTTCCGAGATATGGCCTGCACTGCTAGCTACCCATTAAAGATAGCAGTGCACCATCCAGGAATAATCCAGGAAAGTGGTAGGGTGATATAAATGATGAAGAAAATTAAATGCTAATTAAATGCTTCCATTTCCATAAACATAATCTCTATTTTCAGCTTTTTTTCGAATATTTTCTAAAAGCAACGCTGTGCACTACTAGCTTTATGTAGTAACTACACATATTGAGTTTTCATGGAAGAAGGGATTGGTAGAGTTTTCGACATTTGAATAATTTAGTGCTAATTAAGTGCTAATTAAATGCCAAGTTCACAAATTTTGTGCTCTTGTAGTTTCCGAGATATGGCCTGCACTGCTAGCTACCTGTTAAAGATAGCAGTGCACCATCCAGGAATAATCCAGGAAAGTAGTAGGGTGATATAAATGATGAAGAAAATTGAATGCTAGTTAAATGCTACCATTTCCATGAACAAAATTTCTATTTTCAGCTTTTTTTCGCATTTTTTTTTTTAAACAACGTAATGCACTGCTAGCTTTATGCAGTACCTACACATATTGAGTTTTCATGAAAGGAGGGATTGGAAAAGTTCTCGACATAGGAATAATTTAGTGCTAATTAAGTGCTAATTAAATGCCAAGTTACCAAATTTTGTGCTCTTGTAGTTACCGAGATATAGCCTGCACTGCTATACCCGTTAAAGATAGCAGTGCACCACGTTGTTTTTAGAAAAATATGCGAAAAAATCTGAAAATAGAAATTTTTTTCATGGAAATGGTAGCATTTAATTCTCTTCATCATTTATATCACCCTACCACGTTCCTGGATCATTCCTGGATGGTGCGCTGCTATCTTAAACGGGTAGCTAGCAGTGTAGGCCATATTTCGAAAACTACAAGAGCACAAAATTTGTGAACTTGGCATTTAATTAGCACTTAATTAGCACTAAATTATTCCTATATCGAAAACTCTACCAATCCCTTCTTTCATGAAAACTCAATATGTGTACTGCATAAATCTAGCATTTCACAGCGTTGTTTTTAAAAAATATTCGAAAAAAAGCTGAAAATAGAGATTTTGTTCATGGAAATGGTAGCATTTAATTAGCATCTAATTTTCTTCATAATTTATATCACCCTACCACTTTTCTTGATCATTCCTGGATGGTGCACTGCTATCTTTAACGGGTAGCTAGCAGTGCAGGCCATATCTCGGAAGCTATAAGAGCACAAAATTTGGTAACTTGGAATTTAATAAGCACTTAATTAGCACTAAATTATTCTAAAGTGGAAAACTCCACCAACCCTTTCTTTCATGAAAACTCAATATATGTACTGCATAAAGCTAGCAGTGCACCGCGTTGTTTTAAAAAAATGTGCGAAAAAAAGCTGAAAATAGAGATTTTGTTAATGGAAATGGTAGCATTCAAATAGCATTTAATTTTTTTTTCATAATTTATATCACGCTACCACTTTCCTGGATCATTCCTGGATGGTGCACTGCTATCTTTAACGGGTATAGCAGTGCAGGCTACATCTCGGAAACTACAAGAGCACAAAATTTGGTAACTTGGCATTTAATTAGCACTTAATTAGCACTAAATTATTCCTATGTCGAAAACTCTCCCAATCCCTTCTTTCATGAGAACTCAATATGTGTACTGCATAAGGCTAGCAGTGCACCGCGTTGTTTTTGAAAAAATATGCGAAAAAAAGCTGAAAATAGAAATTTTGTTCATGGAAATGGTAGCATTTAAATAGCATTTAATTTTCTTCATCATTTATATCACCCTACCACTTTCCTGGATTATTCCTGGATGATGCACTGCTATCTTTCATGGGTAGCTAGCAGTGCAGGCGATATCTCGGAAACTACAAGAGCACAAAATTTGTGAACTTGGCATTTAATTAGCACTTAATTAGCACTAAATTATTCCTATGTCGAAAACTCTACCAATCCCTCCTTTCATGAAAACTCAATATGTGTACTGCATAAAGCTAGCAGTGCACAGCGTTGCTTTTATAAAATATTCGAAAAAAAGCTGAAAATAGAGATTTTGTTCATGGAAATGATAGCATTTAATTAGCATTTAATTTTCTTCATCATTTATATCACCCTACCACTTTCCTGGATTATTCCTGGATGGTGCACTGCTATCTTTAACGGGTAGCTAGCAGTGCAGGCCATATCTCGGAAACTACAAGAGCACAAAATTTGTGAACTTGGCATTTAATTAGCACTTAATTAGCACTAAATTATTCCTATGTCGAAAACTCTACCAATCCCTCCTTTCATGAAAACTCAATATGTGTACTGCATAAAGCTAGCAGTGCACAGCGTTGCTTTTATAAAATATGCGAAAAAAAGCTGAAAATAGAAATTTTGTTCATGGAAATGGTAGCATTTAAATAGCATTTAATTTTCTTCATCATTTATATCACCCTACCACTTTCCTGGATTATTCCTGGATGGTGCACTGCTATCTTTAACGGGTAGCTAGCAGTGCAGGCCATATCTCGGAAACTACAAGAGCACAAAATTTGTGAACTTGGCATTTAATTAGCACTTAATTAGCACTAATTTTTCCAGTCATAAAAATTTTGCACTGCTGACTTTGCACTGCTAACTTTATATACGTAGAGAAAATAATCGTTGGGTGTAAGATCGGGAGAGCGTCACAGTATTGTAGCTCTCGACCCAGCAATGAGACGGTTCGGATTCAAATGGTCCAGAATGAAACCCGTATTATGGGCTGGACATCCATCTTATTGATACCATATTTCATTAAATCTATAGGACCAGATAATCTATCAATTTCTGGAATTATCTGCCGTTGGCCCGTTGCAAAAGATCCAAATATTTTGGACCAGTTAAGTTAGAGTCCATGAAGTACGGCCCAATAATATGTTATCCACACAAACCGCTCCAGACAGTTACCTTTTGACGACGCTGGGCTCTAAGCTCAAAATACCTGTGTAAATTCTCCTTAGACCAATAACGGGTGTGACTAGGATTATGTCGACCATGGAGTTGAAATGTCGACTCATCTGTAAAGACAATTTTTCTAAGAAAATCTTGATTTTCATTTGCCTTATTAATGAAAGTTTCACAAAAATCCATCCGCCTGATGTTGTCCTCAGGATCAATTTTTTGGGAGTTTCTTACTTTGTACGAACGATACTTTTTTTTTTCTGTGGCTCTAACCGTCCTTGTACTTGAGTCAATTTAACTAATGCCAACAACCAACAACATAATTTATTTGGCTTCTTGATCCTCATTATTTTCCGGGACGTCATTTCGTTTGGTTTCAGGAAGAAACACAACCGTATTTTTGAAAATTATTAACAACCCTAGAAACTTTTTACTTGGTTGTCGCCAGGTTAGCGCTAAATCGATTTGTCATTTTCTGACATGCGGACGCCTGCAAATTCGTCAGGTTACATCCTATATACCTCGTACCTTGCCCCTCACTGTATATTAAAACACCGAAAATGGACCACCCAAGAAAAAATAAAAATAATAAAGGCAGTACTCAAAATAATTAAATTATTAATTATTAAAGCAATTAATTGCTGCCATTTCCTGCAGACAATGAGTCATTTTGCATAGCATAGCAAATATTAAAGGAAAAGTTTCTAATGTAATTTACCAGAATGAAATCAGTCATGAAAACAATATATTGTATCATTGATCATGCTTTATCAAACAATAACCTAGATAAGGTGTACCAAGAAGAGTAGATAATACACGGAAATAATAAAATCAATTTTTAATTTAAGACTATTAGCAAACAAAATAGGAACATCAGTTTTACTGTATATTGAAATGAGACATCGCATAGAACACTGTATTTTGCAAATTTTGAAGGTACTGCTAGATACGGTATAATTTTTTGGGAATCCAACTCTAGGGCGCAAAATATATTTGTTATTCAGCAAACAATAAGAACAATTGTCCCCCTACAATCGTGTAGGGGAATATTTAGGGCAAAGGGATAATAACAATTTATGCTCTATACATCTATGGGAAAATTTTATTTACTGTCAAGAATATGCAATTGCTTGATGATACTGTTGCTAGTCATAATTATTATAACACTAGAACAAATAATATTTGTTTTCCGAGGCACAGGTTAACATTTTTAGAAAAAAGTCCATGTTACATGGGAATAAAACTTTTTAATAAACTAAACAATGAATTAAAAATAAGGACATAAGCAAAAATGTTCAGAAGTGATCTAAAAAAGATACTTGTTGAGTTGGAACCATAATATAGTATACAGTATACAAGAATATTTAAATTAGGCATATGGACATAAAATAATGTAATTATTCTGATTATCATTAGGTGTACCTAAGACCTAAGGTCTTTTTTGTGATGCTATTTCATTTCATGGTTTATGTGTATATTTTTATGTATGTTACTGTTATCTGAATTAAAGTTAAATATAAATAAATGAATAAATATTAAATTCACATTACTCATCCATTGTTTCTCTGAATCATCTCTCAAGTCTCAGCTAATTTGTATTATTATACTTTTAATTTTAGCTTGAACATGTAACTTCAAACAAGTAAAAGTATTGGGTGGGTATAAGTATCCTGAAAATCTGAACTATTTTCACTTTGATTTCAATTATTTAGCTATTTAATTGAAATTATTTGAGAATATAAATAAAAACTGGCAAATCATGTAGGTATGTGTTTAAGTAGCTAGTTTGTTGGTTAATGGTTAAATTCGAAGTTACATTTTTATTCATAGTTATTATTAAAAGAAGGCTGCAGTAGGTACTTATTTTTTTAATGTTTGGGGAAATTGTTAAATCATGATTCATAAAACAAATAGAAAAACCTTAAGCCCTTGCTTATTTAAATGTTTATAATGGAAGATAGACTAAGTAGGTACTTGAAATTTATCGCAAAGTACTTACTTAATGGATTTACAAAACAAATGATTAAAAGATAGAATGAAATGAACTTACCGCCTTACTGGGTTCTGCAAAATCTATTCGAAGCTGACCCATAGCTCTGATAATAGCCATGAGGCTCTGAATTGTGTTACTGTAAACGACTGGTCGATACTGAACACATTCTTCTTTGGAATATCCTAGCTCATGGATTATTTTCATTTGTTTCACTATTGTGCTCTTACCAGATTCTCCAGCGCCTGGAATAGTCAAGGAAATAGTATTTTATTTTTAACGGTAATAAGAAATAACCAGGAATAATTTACCAAGGAGGAGAAGTTTGACTTCACTAGCGGCTCTTTCCCCATCTGCCCTAAGGTCTCGGTCAATTTTTTTTGACCGAGCCTGAGCAGCCTTATCCCCCGTTGTACTAACCGCACAACCCATTATATTTTTAGAAAACTACACTATTTTGAGACTCGCTGTTGAAAATTCACCACAAAAAAGATTTCACCTCCCCTGTTTCCACAACAAAACGTCGGTTGATAATTTTCTCTCAACAGTCAATCTCATCCCCATCCAACACAACACAAGACTAGTAGACGGAACGGGAACGGGAACAACGAAGGAACGAAAAAACTTGTTGAAATGTTGACTAGCTCAGTTGACTCATACGTCATAAAAGGCGATTTCGGATGGTTTCTGGTAATTGGCATAGAGTAGTTCGGTCAGAATTTATTCAAGGGTGACAGTGAGTAGCATCCATCGCGTCATGCATGACCGAACTCGATTCTTGAACTAGAGGAGTGTTCAGTCTGGAGAGGGCACCTGCGACCTGCGGTTAGTGCGGTTGACTTTTGTGAAATGTCAGAAAGGCTGTGTTTAACGGGACTTAGCGGGTGTTAGCGCTTGCAAGCGCTTCTGGCTAATTGACCGATAAACGACTAGTTAGCGCAAAAGCGCCTGTCAGCTTACTTAGCTCATTTGAAAAGTGCTATTTTTAGTTAGCTGTTGTTAGGCCGGGTATTATAAAACTGCTTTGACAGTTAACTTGAAGTTAACTTTTTGAATTACATGTTATTCCAGAAGTTAACTTTAAGTTAACTCTCAAAGTAGTTTTGATAAATAAATAGGTCGTTCAACGGCTACAGTTAGCGCCTCTTCAGCGCTAGCGGGCTTACGCTAAGTCCCGTTAAACACAGCCAAAGAGAATAAGCATCTCTCTCTCTCTCGGTCAGTTGGAGTACAGTGACTCTATCTTTGAATATAAAACTACAGGAAGGAGCATAACCTCGCGCGACAAGAAAATGTGGAGGTTGCATATGGCCGACTAGTGTTTCCGGTTTGGCAGTGGCGTATATTTATTTAAATATGATTGTCAATATTATGACTCACTCTTTTCGCACAAATTCCAGTGCTTATTATCACTTAAAACCGCTAAAATCCATTAAACCTCCACTTGAATGAGGACACAGCGAACCACCAAAACAAATGATGAGTCCATACTTGGAGGCTCAATATGGCCGTTTCCGTCCCTGGCCGGGGATTCTTAAATCACGATTCGACATACGACTCGACAACGAGATGATTTTTCCGACGATTCTAGGTTAGAAATCTCATTGGAATTATACCTTTCGACACGACAAGGCTGTGCGTTGTCTGTAGTGACAGATAGGAAACGCTCCTTCCTGTAGTTTTATATTCAAAAGACTCCATTGAACCCTGAACCACAGTAGCGACAATTGCCGTCTTATTTATGATTGATTCAAAAATCCTATACATATATATTTATATATATTGAAAACGCCGCCATTTTGTGCACACCTCTTGCTTATTTGAAATATGAATATTGAATATATAAGTTCTTTTCACGTGGCTCCGGTTTAACTAACCGGGTTACAAAACGGTTAGAGAAATGACATACCGTTTTCTAACCCGGTTACAAAGTGACGTGATGGATACCTACCACTCGAATTTGAGCGGTATGTTGCGGTTTGTAAAGGGCCCCATACACTGCGATGAAACACGACGGTTTTCATCGCCACGATGAAACACGTCGTTCTAAAACCGAAGTGTGTAATAGAAAAACACGACGGTTTTCTACAGAGCCCCACAGACTACGAGGAACACGACGGTTTTCATCGCCACGATGAAACACGTCGTTTCAAAACCGAAGTGTGTGGTAGAAAACCGTTCGTGTGCACGAAATGTTGAACCGTCGTGCCAAAAATCAAGCTCGGACTGAATTTTAAACCGACGATGAAACACGACGGTTTTCTACCACACACTTCGGTTTTGGAACGACGTGTTTATGACGTGACGTGTCGTGTTTCCTCAAACTCTGTGGGGCTCTGTAGAAAACAATCGTGTTTTTCTATTACACACTTCGGTTTTTAAGGGCCCCATACACTACGTTCTTTCTCGTCGGTTTTCATCGCCGCGATGAAACACGTCGTTCCAAAACCGAAGTGTGTGGTAGAAAAACACGACGGGTTCCTACCACACACTTCGGTTTTGGAACGACGTGTTTCATCGTGGCGATGAAAACCGACGAGAAAGAACGTAGTGTATGGGGCCTATTAGAACGACGTGTTTCATCGTGGCGATGAAAACCGTCGTGTTTCATCGTAGTGTATGGGGCCCTTTAAACCGGAGGCACGTGAAAAGAGTTATAGGATTTTTTAGGTGAAGATCCGTCATAAAAGATGGAAAACAACGTATTTGATGTACCTAATACCAGTAATCAAATACGTTGTTTTCAATTTTTTATGAAAGATGTCCATTTAATTGCTATATGAATACATTTAATGGAGATTTCCATTTGTCATCAGTGCCGCACTGAGTGTATCCGCATCTTTTTCTAAAAGCATGTAACATGTAAGGATAAGGATACATTTTTTTTGCCCTGATTCGACAAATGGAAACCGCTATACAAGTTACAAGAGAAGAGGTTGGGCACAAAATGGCGGTGGGACCTCTACCTACTAGGTCTGTTTCTGCACAAATCACAAACCAGTCAGAGTGAATTTCATTGGTTGAAACTAGTTTTCTGACTGTTTCTGACTGTTTTCAACCAATGAAATTCGCTCTGACTGGTTTATGATTTCTGCAGAAACAGACCTATAATTAGTTGTATTCCTTTCACACCTAGGAGGAGCTCCGGGGCTTCACGCGCTTATTCCTTTCGAAAAGTGTTTGTTGCACTACGCATCTGTTCCCTGCAAATCGGGGGCGACTAAGCACCGGCGCGAGTAGCTCGAGTGTTTCAAGCTCTTGAAAGCAATACAACTATTGTCGCCACTGTATGTTTATTTAGTCACTGTAAGTTGGAGTAACTCGCAAACTAAGTTTGTTTTGAAAGGAACATCGAACATGTTTTTTTAGTCCCAGATCTCTACAGCCAACTTTTACAACTACAGTCCCTACACCGAATTTGTTTTTTATTGCTTTATATTTTGGTATTTTGAAATGCAAAAATCAAATCATTATAACAACAACCTTGTGTTTTTTGACAAACCAAGCAGAGAATCATATTAAATTATGAAACATTTGGCCAAGGGTGATTTATGTAGTACCATTGTATAAAAAGGCTTTATAAGAGCCTTTTTATACAATGGTAGTACCTACATAAGAGCCGTGTGCTTTATGGCATAAACTTTCTTATTTCCTCTCTAGACGTAGATTTTTTTTTCATACTGTGGAATTTTTGGCTTTTTTATCTGTATTCATTTTAATTATCGTTTTTAACTTGCAAAAATTTAAATTAAATGGTGAATCTTTTTTTTGTTTTGAATATTAATCTTGCCAAGTTTTGTACCATTCCTTGTCTTTTTGTCCATGGTGGAATTCAGAATAAAAGTTTCATTTTTAAATTTTTTTCGAAATTATTATAATAAGGTCAAAATGCACTGTTTTAATAGTAACAATCCGGTGGAGGACTGCGACTGACGGCACGTGACGTCAGTCGCAGTACTCGATGTTCGATATTTTGGCGAACGTATGTCTTATGACCATGGCCCCGACTCGTCTATCTAGGGTGGATGCTCACATGTATATACGAATATATTTAAATAAAAACCATCGACAAAAACACAAGAAAAACAAAACGAGGCAAAACGCACCCCAATATACCTACTGGCATAACAAGAAAAACAAGAACAAAACTGAAAGAAACAAGTGTGCATGCAAGAAGGACAAAAAACGATTCCGTCAACAGCTGTTGTCGGAAGCTACGAAATGGTTCTCGATTCGAGTTGTCTCGCTTCGAGTACGTTCGTAACCGCTATTCCGAAAAAAGATGGAGGATTCGATTCGTATCGGACGTTCATAATCGGGCCCCCGTCAGCACCGCCGCGGGCGTCACGTCCGCCACGCCTCGTCTGACGAGTCGATAGGGGAGAACCAGAAAGGAAATTTAACTGAACAGGTTACCTCAAAGGCTTCTCAAAGGCTGAGTTTGGCTTACACTCGGTAAACTCTGAGCGCGCTCAAAACGATAAGATCCTGTTCGTTTAAAGGGGGTGTGCGCCAAAAATTAAAGTTTTAGTGTAAAAAAATCTAAGAATAACTGTTCAAACCTCGTTATTCTACGATAAACCATCGCTGAGATATACCGCTTTAAAGTGTGGACGACGCTCTCGTGACGTCACGAAAACTTCGTCTAGCGGCGCTCTGCATTGTTAATTTGATTGTTACTGGCACGGGTGAGTGGTCTTTGTTTAGATTATTGCAGGTAACACAGGGAAAACATTATGTAAATTTAATTAAATCCACTTTCTCGTGCTTCGCTTGAGCTTTCGTGACGTCATAGGGTGAGATGCGGTACCTTCATAGAGCCATATCTGCGGTATTATTTGTCATAGAGGGGTGCGGATTTCACTGTTATTCTTAGATTTTTTTTCTCTGTTTTTTGAGATGAAGTTGTTTTTTTGGCGCACACCCCCTTTAAGCTCTCAGAGTGTTTCGATTTTTTGCCCAGATTTTTCTTTTACTTTTATTTCAGATCCATTTCCAATTTACGTACTCATTTACTAGTAAAATTAAATTAAATTCAAAACAAGACAATTTTTCTTTTTCAGATTAGTGACAACTACTGTGACAGGGTTTCAGGATTTTTTTTCGATCTGCGTCGGTTTGGCTTATGACCTTGTTCAGGGCGTACTCTGAGAATCAAGTCACGATACCCATGCTCGTAACGTTCCGCTCCGTGGAGTACAAAGCCGAACTCAGCCAAAACGTATTCTCTTAGAACTGTTCCATTCTTTCCTTGAAAACGTACTCCAAATCAGTCGTATGGCATTGTTCACTGAGAGCAAATATCTGATTAAACAAAATCTTCGCAGCAGAATAGCCTCACTCTCACTCTCAATTAAATACGTCACTGCGACGCGCGTGCGTCAGGAATAGTCCGGAAACAGTTCTTGCTGTTACTCCACACAGGGCAGGGATGGTTGATGGTTTTATGGTTCTTGAATCATTTAAGAACGGTTCTCAATTTGACCCGGATAACGAATTTCTATTCCGAACGGATCTAGTTGGAGAAACCCGAATGTGTTGTTTTCTACTTTGAACAGAAAAATTCAACCTGTGGTGTGTATTAAAACTAGTTCACTGATTGGGACGGCCGTAAGATACACTTGTTTCGGTTCGAAGCTGATAAACTAATGGCGAATTCCATTTGCCAATCAGTGCGCACTGAGTGTATCCGCACTTTTTCTAAAAGCATGTAACATGCAGGGATGGATACATTTTTTTTGCACTGGTTCGACAAATGGAAAACGCTGTAAGAAAGGAACGGTTTGGATCGAACAGAGTAAACAAAATGTGATGTTCGGTAATTGCATCTGCGAACAAAAGGAGCAAAATTTGGTAGATGTCACGTGATTTGACACGTGAAAAAAGACAAGTGACCACGTGACGTCCGTCGAAATTTGCTCTTTTTGCTCGATACACTTCCTGAACCCAACCCAGGCACTAGCCAGTGATGTTTAGCAAACACCGAGAGTTCTAGCTGCTAGATGTCCTATTGATCTTTGGAATCGTCAATAGATGGCAATAATAAATTCCTGAAAAAAATTGTTATTTTGTCTCATTTGTAATTTACTTACAGATTCCTGTAAAATTTTTTGAGGCCTAATTTTTTATCTCATTCACTAATCAGATTGAATTGTTTTTTGATCCCCGATTTCTATGTACAGTGTACAGTTGCAAAATAAATTAATCAGGCTAAGGTTTAATTTAAAGTTAGTTCCAGTTTGGTGCCATTTGGTTTTTTATCAGGATTCAATGATTTCAAAATAAAAACAATACCTATTGGTCATTGGCCATTGTATGCTCATTGATTAGTTGGAATCTGAAATCTGACATTCCACTAGAGTAGACTGTAGCTATGGACTGAAGTGAAATGAAGTTTGTAGTATGTCGTACTTTGTTTTCAGGGGCCTGGAAAGTTTGTGCTTGAAATGTTGAGAGTGAAGAGAAATGCTGAAGCAAGTACCAGTGATAGTTTTCAGGACTTATTTGTTAATTAATATGCAATCTAAATCCGCGAATATTAATGGACTTGTGTTTATGTGGCACACATAATATTATTTTTCATGGAACAGCTTAAAGATGGCTACTAGTGATTCTTTTTCAACTTTATCAGTGATGTATGTTCTGTGGAAAATCAAGAAATTTGTAACAATTAGGATGAATTTACGACGCCCAGGTAATTATACTATAGGACCGAATTTATTTTCCTTTGTTGCCCTTATGATTTTTAACTAGGGCATGACAGCGTGACCTAATGGTTCTACATTGTTTACAAAATGTTTGCCACCCCTACCTGATTTATTGAACAAGTAAACACCCTTGTTATCTTTAAAAAAAAAGTTAGTAGTAGCAAGTTCATAATCGAGTTCATAATATTTGCTAGAACAAATTTTATTTGAACTGTTTTCCACTCAGAATTTGAAACTAGCAAGTAGGTAATATCAATAGTCAATACTTACAAATCTTACAATATTGTCAATAAACCGAGCCATAAACTTAATCTGATTATTCTATCCCATACCCATGCTTTTAGTCAAATTATGTATTTGCATTTTTGAGAAAGTAACAAATGCATTTCTATTTTTAATAATTTCTGGGTCAAGCTAAGGGGTTTTTTTCGAGGAATTTTCAATTTAGTACCTAGATGTGTTAATAATAAAAGAACCACATACTTACAGAATTAAGAACATCACAACTGGAATCCTGGAATCCTAAATAATGGTAATGCCAATAGTCTCTTGTATATTTGTGTTCATATATCACCAGACACCACCTATATTTTTGTACTAAAAGCTGACACAGCCTATTTGAGTCCCTGGTATTTCTTTAGACCCTAGGAAGTTTGAGACTTTTGGCTTCTATTCCTAGAGTCAAAGAGAAGAGTTATGCTGTTCTAAGAAAAAATTAAGTACTAAGTATTTATAATAGAGCGTAAGAAGTTTCCCTTTCACCCAGGTTTAATTCTGAAATATTTCTTTATCTGGAGCCTGGTATTTTAACTGAATACTTTTGGGAAAATCTCAATATTTCTCATTTACCTACCCAATTATTTCAAGTAATCTAATCTTTGTTTTTCTTTTTCCTCCTGTGTGTCTTTAACCTGTGTGTAGGGTTGCCAGATACTTGAGTTTTGAAAATAGGAGAGCCTGTGTAAAATTATATGAGATTGGATAATAATATATGAGAATATTTTATGTACTGCAAAATACTTGAATCCGAAAAACTCCTATCTTGACAATTAGCTATGATTTTTAGCAGATTTTGGAATGTATCGCTGGACATCTTTTAGGTAGTTTAATACTCTTCCTGATCCGTCAGTCTCATTTCTTGTAACAAGATGTGGACAACACCTTGAGTTTTTTGATGTTTAAACAAATCCCTGACCCATAATCGTTTTGTTTTTTTTTTTTCTGTTTTTACCAATGTTTTTACTTTTATTTTTATTTATTATGTACAAAAGAGACAAAAGTAAAATATTATTTATTCAACAACGTCGGAAAAAAGTTGGAAATATTCAGATAAAAAGTGGCGGGAAATTTTTCAGCCAATAGGAGCTCCATCGTACCATCGGACGCCGGCCGGAAAGTCTCATGCGTCCCATACGACCGACCGTCCGAATCGGACGGTCAGATAGGACGCATGAGACTTTCCGGCCTATCATGTGTATGGTAGTGATATACATGTTTTTTTTTTTTTAAATTAAAATATATGAGAAATAGTCTCATATTAAACATGCTTATATGAGATATGAGAAATAGTTAAAATATATTTATTTATTTATTTATTTATTCACGGGAAAACCCCATTAACTGTTAAAATACAATTTAAGAAAAAATATAAAGAATAAAGCATAAGTTAGGTACTATATTATAACTTTAACTACATAAATAATAAATATTATTTAAGTACAAAAATTAATACTACACAATAATATAAAACATATTACATATGAGTCTCATATTAAAAATAGGAGGTCTGGCAACCCTACCTGTGTGTCTTTAGCCCCAGGTTACATCCAAGATTATACTAACAGGCAAAACGACTAGCAAAACGACCAGCAAAACGATCATGAGTTTATTTTAGAAACTAATCAATTTGAGCCTGGGCTGATCAGAGTGAGGCTCTTTTCTAGGTTCACCCAAGCTACAAGACATATTATTTATATAGTCTATTGTGTTGGTGGTCTTGGAATTATCGTCTTATTGCACTTGTAAGGCTGGGGCTAGAGTACTTGGTGTCTGCGTGCATGTTTCGAGTATTTTGTAGTTTTCAGCGAGGTTTTCAGGCCACGCACGACATGCACCTCCAAACAAAATTCATTGTTTTTAAGCAAATTAGTGTTTGTACCTAGTGATGTGAACAAGGGAACGTTCTGATTGTGCTTTCGAGAACATTCGCGAACGTTCGCGCACGAAAAAAAGGTTCGTGCTGAATATTACCTTCAGAGCACAATGAGCACGCTAGAGAATATTCAGCACGTTCTCAAGCACGATCCTAACCAATAGAATCACATGACGCCATAAAGTAGAGATATTATGTATTAAGTAGGTATATTTTCCTAAGAAGTTTGAGAACTTTCAGCACATTTATCAAGAATTTTCAGAATATTCAGAACTTTCACGAGAAATTTGGGAATTTCGGTAAATTTGAGAAAAATCAGAATTTATTTAGGAAAATGTTTTGTTTTATTCAGCTTCTGATAAAAAGCATAAATTCTCGGGTCCTGCTCGTTTTTGCTCGTTTATTCTCGTTAATTCTCGATCCTGCTCGGAGAACGTTCTCCTAAAATACTTGCTCGAGCATTTTACATCACTATTTGTACCTAAAAATTTAGATTTTCTAGTTTAATGGAAATTTATAAAATATCCTGAACATTTTCTTACAGTGATCATATACACAACAATTTTGTCTATTTCTGATACCATATCTTCACTCTATTGACTCATTGTCTTTCATTTGTATGAATCTATTCATTTGAATATCGCAAGTAATACAAAAACAGCCTTCAACATTCACCTCTAAATCATCCTGTTCAAGCCTAGCCTATGCTGTTGGGCTAAAGAGTCAGTGGTATCAATAAGTACTCAGATATGTTTGTTAGTGGTCAATTAGGTTAATTAATATAATAACAAATAAAATATTATAAGTTGAAAATTAAAATAAAATCACCTGATTGCTAAGCTTAAATCATATTTATAATACCTCTTTTCTCCCAAATTATGAGAAAAATAAAAGAAAATGTGATCCGTTGGGCAGCATAAAAAAGTTCATCTTTTAACGCTCATATCTCAAAGACCGTAATATGTACAAGATTTGGTCCCATTTAAAGGTTGTAAGAAATTAAATCCTCTATGACATATCAAAAAATGGGCAAAATTCATAGAACGCAAAAATCACATATTAGCAGTGGGTTATCCTTTGTAAACCAATTGGTTTGAGAGAGGGTAGAGATACTCGGTAGGTATATGTAGGTACGCACCACACACAATTAATGTTTCAGCCAAAAAGCTCATCCCAATTTGTTTGGTAATTTTGTACCTATATTTTCATTTTGACACTGGTGTGTTTGATATAGATTATGATCCTATTATTTGTTCAAACTATTTCAGGAAAAGGAGCGAAACAAGGTATAGCAGGTATTTCCAACTTACCCTAACGAAAGCACCATGCTAGTATAATTTGGAAATATACATTCACATGCAGAAATCACCTTTTTCCTCTACTTTTGGTTATATAGCTACGAAGCCGCAGTTCACAGTGTTTCAAATATTGAAAAGCAGATCTGGTATCTACTTTTTTGTGAGAAGAAAATCACTTTGGACACCTCCAGTCCAGAGTCCAGTTTATTTATGGACACCGCTTCCCTTTTAGTTAAGGTGAAAATTATTTCCGCTTTCATACCTTTTACCCGAGCTTTTACCATTTAGGTACTTATTTAGACACTTAACTCAAAACATTTGTGTTTAAAAATGATTGAGAACATACATTGTGACAGTTTATACTTAAGGCCTCTGTAAAAGGAAAATTTATATTAAGTGAGTCAGATTTCAAATGCTTTCCAGCAACGTCAGATATGAAGGCCCTGTACAGGGTAGTTACCAAGTTTAGGAACTTTCTTTTTTTGTGCAGGTAAAATTAAAGATAGTTTTTTCAAGTTTTCATCCTGCTCACAATCATGAACCAGATTCTTCTGCAACAGAGATCAAAGCAAATTCCAGATTTGGAAGTAAACCCTAGTAAATTCTTCTCAGCCTTATTATTTTATTCACTAAAATCTGAGTCCTAGACTGGGTCTATGTAGGTACACAATAATTTTAAAATACAGACAGTGGTTTGTACAGGGTTATTGGTTATAAATGTCACCCCCCCTCTATCTTTTTTATTTGACATTTTAAAAAAAAGTGTCCCAAATAAAAAATTTATGGTTGAAATTAATTTTTTTGAAAAACTCTTTTTTTGTATATACAGTGTGTTTCAAAAAAGCTGGTCGTGCTGCAACTTTCTTATTTCAAATTGAATACCCTGTATACAGGGTATTCGGCACATGAGTAGACATACATGAATCAGAGATAGGTGGGGTTGTTTGCTATGCGGTCCACCCAATTTTTTTGACCTGGGCCCTAAAAATTTTTTTTTTGATTTCAAAAAAAAAAAATCCAAAATTTTCAATAAATAATGGAGGGCCGCAATTCGAGCAATTTTTATGAATACATTATTAAATCAATATCATACTATTTCATTTAGTAGCTTCTATAAGTTTTTAACGCAAAAAACTCACTTACCTCAAAAGTAGAATTCCATAAAAAATGCCCACCATTGATAAAGTTGACAAATAACTCTTGCTGCTTTTAGGCAAATTGCGGTTATTGCATATCGTTCGAAAGGGCATGAATTGAAGATGTTTTTGAGTAATTAGAAAAGCTCGATCATTTCAAATTTTTTAAAAAATGCAATGCAAAGTTGGCTCTAAAAATTATTTTTTACCTCTTTTTGTGGTTTTAGGGCCCGTATTTTTTTTTGTAGCTGTCATGGGCCTCAATTATCAAATTTGTATGAGTCTAGAATTAGTCTAGATGAAAATAAAATAAAAATATTGTCAGTTCCATGATTTTTCAAAAAGTTATTTCAGTTTAAAATGTGCAAATCGAAAATTTTGGAAAAAAAATAAAAAAAATTCTAAAAAAAAATTCTTAGGGCCAAGGTCAAAATATCTGGGTGGACCGCATAGCAGACGGTCCCACCTATCTCAGATTTACGTATGTCTACTCATGTGCCGAACACCCTGTATTATTCAATATTCGGATTCTACATCAAATTCTGAGCAGATATCATGTGATATACCCTATACCTAAGTTCAACTGTTTTGGAAAAATTGACAGTTGAAAATTGACTTTTTTGCAAAGGACCTCGCACACCTTACATGGGATTTCAGCGATCGGTCGATTTTTTTCAAATTTTGATATGTTGTAGAGAATTTAATTCTCAACAACCTTTAAATGGGACGAAATCTTGTAGGTATTAAGGTCTTCGAGATATGAGCGTTGAAAGATGAACTTTTTTGCGACTTTTTGTGTGGAGAGTATACGGAATACTGGTGCTTATCAGTCAAAATCAATGAACTATAACCAAAAACTGGAATGCTAACACATAAGGACGAACGTGAAGCCTAGTGCAGCTGCTGCGGAGGGGATACCTGTTTTTGTCGCACTCATTATGTTAAATGGCGAAAATTGCTTCCCACACGTATTTCAATCGATGAAACCTGTGAAGGGAAATATGACAAAACTTTCGAAAACGTCATATGACAGCGAGCAACAGAAAAAAACAACATTCCCCCTTGTGGCATCTGTCTTTCATGGCTTCATTTTTTTGGCAGATATGGCACTGTGTGCGCATTCCAGTTTTTAGTTATAATTCATTGGTCAAAATATTGGCAGGTTCACATATTTTACGTCACTAACAAATGTCAACATCGGCTAAGGCCGGGACCGCACTAGCGTCAACATTGGTCCCAGTGTGGTCCCGGCCTTAGCCTATGTTGACATTAATTTGTTAGTGACGGGAAATATGTGAACCTGTCAATATTTTGACTGATAAACACCAGTGTCACCCAGTAGCACCAGTATTTCGTATACTCTCCACACAAAAAGTCGCAAAAAAGTTAATATTTCAACGCTCATATCTTAAAGACCGTAATACCTACAAGATTCCATCCCATTTAAAGGTTGTTAAGAATTAAATCCCCTACAACATATCAAAATTTGGAAAAAATCGACCGATCGCCAAAATCCCATGTACGGTGTGCGGGGTCCTTTGACAGGCTGTAAAACCTAAACGGTTATCTTTTGAGGAAAATCGATCTTACATTTTCACAAGATATAATTTGACACCAACTTTGAATTTAACCGAAGATTAAATTCAATTGGAATTTTCCATCATGGATTAAATTCAAAGTTGATAGGGTATATCACATAAAATCCGCTCAGTATTTTACGTAGAATCCGAATATCCAATAATATACAGGGTATTCTATTTGAAATAAGAAATTTGGAGCACGACCAGCTTTTCTGAAACTCCCTGTATATGCGAAAGTGAATTTAATTTCAACCATAAAACTTTCATTTGGGACACTTTTTTCTAAAATGTCAAATGAAAAAGATAGAGGGGGGTGACATTTATAACCAATAACCCTGTACACAGAGCTGAATTTTTTCAATTTGACCCAATTCTGTGTTTCAGGTGAAAGAAATATTAAAAGAGATTGATTTAGCCGATACTTGATGGAACTCCATTACAAATTTTGAAAGGGAACAAAAAACTTTCTAGATTCCCACAATTTTATTTTCAAAACTTTTTTGTTTACTTCTCGGTTTCCTTTCATAAAAAAAAATATTTAAAAAAATTAAAATAAAAATTGGCTTTGCTAAATTAAAATGAATAATTTAAATTGTTTATAGTTCTAGTAATTTACTTTAAGTTTATGATTTTGTAGAAATTTCACAATTACTAATGCAACTGGGTTTGAGTAAAGGTATTATTATTAAATTTTTAATAATGGACCTTTCTCATGCAATTAACAACAAGGATAGTTTATTAAAATTTATGTAATAAAGAAAGAGATACCTATTATGACGCGCGATACCTGTGTGGAATGACTTTGATTGGTTCCACTTGTCAAATTGTGCAATTTCGGTTATGTTTCTGTTTTTGTTTATTTTTATTTGATATAGAAATCGTTATTTTACGAACCCTCAAACCTCTGTTCCAACTTAAATCGTCTTCAGTCAGGTTGAGAACATGTAACCATTGTTTTCTTACAATTTGATTGCTTGGGAACTTGTGAAAAGAAAGGTTTGACTTCTTTTTCGCCTTATTCTAACAAGATCTCATACAACACATTTGAAACATTGTATAATAAACAGTTTTTGTAATAATTTTCAGCAATATTGATTGATTATTGAGGTTAGCTTTAAAAACGTCAGGGTCAGACCGTGTTCCCGCGTTCATTCAATTGACAATTTTATTATCTGTCACCCACAAGCTGCGCGCGCAGCACAGGTAAAATGAGAAAGGTCCATTGGGAAACGATCAAGTTAATTTCTTTATTTTTCAACTCTTTAACAAAACCAAGCTTTCAGAGATTTTTTGTCCTTCTTCAAGGCTATAATAAAAATTATAAATTATGAAAGAGACCTATATGTAGTTGTATACTTTAGCTTGTAATGGGTTTATGATTTATAGTTGTCTGTATTTTTTATCATTAATAAAAAATTGAGCGTTAATTTGAAATAAAGAAATTAACTTCACCATTTCCCAATTATTAAAGAACTATTAATTATCAACGGTCATTATCCATGAAAATAAAGGTATTATCTCAGGTATTATTGTTTGAATAATTGCAAATTACGAAATTTTTGTTTTTATCTAGCTTGTCATGCTCTTTATAGCTACCTACATTGATTTTTAGTTATTCACTCTGTTTTAAACAATCGCAATAAGCTAGTTACTCGATGTCCACCATTGCGTGTGCACCTATTTATCATTTTCCAAACAAACTTTCTGTTTGAGGTTATATTATAGAAGATGACTTTAGTGTATGATATAATTTGTGGATTGTTTCTTTATTGTTTGTACGAATATTTTATTGAATTGTATTATAGGCACAGGACAAGTCCGCGCGTTGGATGGCGGAGCGCGATGAGCATATTTGGATGTCTCTTTCCATGTGCCCCGCAGCCAAGCTGGAGAGGCGCCCTTGAAACTAACCCCTGCATGTCAGAGCGGATGGGGGCTAGCGCGTCGGCGTCACAAGGAGCCGAAGGAGGCACAGGACTGGGGTTCAATCATGGTCTTGGTTTACCTCCTGGCTTAGAACCTCCTGCTCCTCGGGAAAAGAAGAAGCGAGTTACGGGTTTTGCTACCCTCAAGAAAAAGTTTATTCGTAGACGAAGGTAAGTAGGGACTAGATCTCATACATGGTTTCCTGACCACTATTATAATTCTTAGAGGCAAATCACCCATGAAATTTAAAACAAACTATTTGTACAATTTCACCCTAATCGAGACCCTATAATTGTAAATTTAAATTAACAAATTTTAAATCAAATCTGTTTGTCTTTATTGTCTAAGAAACCTATCTTGTTTACAAATTTACCCTCGTTTCTGGAAAGAAATTTCTATCTTTAAATCGAGCTTTAAATTACCTTTTTGTTTAGGTCTTCGAAAGCATGCGATCACGGTCGCATTCTTCGAGAGTTGGTCTCTGATTGGAGTCCCTTAGAAGTAGCCGCGTTATTAGAGGAATATGAAGCTCTTCAGGCTCTGAAAGATCTCTGCGTTCAGGCTGAGTTGGCTCGACCACCTGCTGCTACTTTCAAGCAAGACCTCTCAGCCTTGTACGACTTTAAATATTGCACTGATGCGGATTTGGTATATAGAGGTGTCTGTTTTCCTATTCACCGAGCCCTTGTTTCTGCAAGATGCCCCTATTTTAGGGACCTTCTAGTTGGGTGTCCTGGATATGGAGCTAGAATCTGTTTGGATCTTCGGTCACCATCTGTTGATGTTCAGCTGTTTTCTGCATTGCTCAGATACTTATATACTGGTAAAAATATATACCTACATATTTATTTCAATTGTCGTGAAATAACTAAATTTCCAGGTGATATTTGTCATCATAATGGCAACATAGACTTGAATCTCCTTAGAAGACTGCGGGAAGAATTTGGTTCTCCCAATCCCCTAGAAAACGACCTGCGATACCTCTTGGAATCAGGTGACCACGCTGACGCAGCTCTAGTTTTCACTGAAGGCGCGGATGGACCTCTAGGTCCTAGACCTGATTCAGCTGGATCAGAATATGGGTTTAGACCTAGACTTGAACTACCATGTCATAGAGCAGTGTTAGCTGCAAGATCACCTTTCTTTCGTTCTCTTTTATCCAGACGTGCGAGAAATCAAGAAGAGAGACAACCTACTAGAATTGTCTTGGACGAGGGCGTGATACCTAAAAGATATGCTAGAGTTTTACTGCATGCAGTCTACTTGGATCAGGTGAAGTGGTGGAAACTTAAAAAAAAACATTAACAAGACTAAATTTTTATTTCTAAGGTGGATTTAAGTTTAATTGCCCGTGGAGGTTGTGGAGGTGGTTTGGGCGAAGCCCATGCCTTAGCACATACAGGAAGAGCCAGGCCCTCACCTTTGGAAGAAGCAATGGAATTATATCAAATAGGGCGGTTTTTAGAATTAGATATTTTAGCACAAGGTTGTGAGGATCTCATTTTGGAAGCATTATCCTTGGATACACTGCCAGTGGTTCTGCAATGGGCCCGTCAACCACATGGTTCAGCCTGGGTGCACAGACAAGTAAGAAATACATTTAACTTCCTTTAAGACAGTAGTCAAAAAATCCCTTCACAAATAATGTATTACTCGTTCTGAAATGTGCAATGATATATTTTTTTTAATCATCATTTGTTTCAGTTTCTAAGTTTACTTTTTTACTTGTCACAATTGTTTTTATGTTTAAGTACATTTTTAGAACCGAAACAGAGTGTCAGAACAAAATGTCTATTTAGTTCAAACAAACTTAGAACTATATTAAGCTTACATTCCCTGAAAACTAGGTATACCTAAATTGCTCGGTTTAAAAGGCAATTATCTATGCTAGTTACTTATATAGTTGCAACATTATGCTAAACCCATTTTTAAAAGATTGTTTCTTTATTGTGTTCTGGTGGTCATTTGGAAGTTTATTGAAAGTTTTACTTTAAGGCATTTACATAGTTACTTCTAGTAAATTAGGTTCAATCCATTTTTGGCTAGATGAGAGATTTTCTCCTAGTGATGCTACTAGATTGCATAAAGTTCTTTTTTAATTTGTCTCTTCTACAATTCTACTTCCATGAAGATTAGATTGATACAATCAAATGAGAGCACACTTGTACACTGGTGTGCATGATATAAATTTCTGTAAAAAAAGTCAACAATAATCCTGTAATTATTCTACAATCGTTGTTCATTAGTTCAGCAGGATCACCAAGGCTTCAGGAAATGAGCCTGTGTCAATGTCTGGGTTAGGTAGGTATATAAAAATGAAAGTGGTCATTTTAGATAGTCCAAAATTTATTTGATAAAATTAAGAAGTATGTCAAATATGTCATAATATGGTTTTTGATTTTGTTTAAGAACACAAAGTAAGATCTGGTATTCTTTCAGGCCCTCCATTTTTTGAGAGAAGAATTCCAGCCTGTTGCGCAGTCAGTAGTTTTGCATCAACTAGATAAGGAACACATAATTGAAATACTAAAAAGTCCCTTTCTTCAAGCAAGCGAACTTGAAGTTTTGCAGGCTGTCTTAAAATGGGGAGAGCATGAACTTATTCGTAGAATGGAAGATAGAGGTAAGTTATTTTTTTTTTTTAGAAAATGATTCTGGTTTGTATTCGCTCTATGTATCTCACAAATGACTAGTTGAAACTAATGTTTTTGTATTGAAAATAATGTTTGTTTGCATAATTTTGCTGTACCCTAGGTACAGGTTGGGCCAATTTGTAAACTTTTGATAGAAAACATCAAATCAACTCCCCTCCCTCATAGTGAGGGTGATATTTCATGAAATCTTCATTGATACAGATCACACATGGGCGTCGTTACGAGGTTTCTCAGGGGGGGGGTGGGGGGCAGCACTATAATAAGATCATTTCCAATAGCACCGCTGGTAACCGCCGGAGGCGAAATTTTTTTTGGTGCCACGTCCCTTTTTTGAACATTTTAACGTACTTATTTGATATCGATATATATGTAGTTAAAAATGATGGTATTTTTTTCCGCAACAAATTCACTGTCCCCATCATTTGTTTAAGCTACGTTTACACTTGGAAAGTTTACTAAGGGCCAAATTCTGGACTGACTGGTAAACGTCTGGTTGTTACCTAGCAGGTACTTTCTATGCAGTAGAGAATAGAAAGTAAATACCTGCTAGGTAACAACCAGACACTTACCAGTTGGTCCATAATTTGGCCCTAAAGGAAAGTACTTGCCGCCACTAAACTTGTCATGTTTAAGCCACAGGAAAGTGCACTTGCTACTTGCCGGCAAGCGCTTTCCAAAAGTTGATGGACCGGCTAGTTTACTTGCCGCTACGCCAAATTTCTGTTTGTACTTTCCGTGTTTAAACGGGTCACAAAAACAGGCGTCCACGTTTCTGTATAAAACAGGCGTCCACGTTTCTGTATGAATACCTACTACAAGGAAGCAAAACTATAACCAGTGGCAAGATATCGTAATGTCACTTCCAATTTGATTCTAGGAGAAATAAGACTTCTCATCTACGTTTCTGACTTTGTCAGGCTCTGTTCAACTAATCTTGCCGGTTCTTGAAATTTTTGGTATGATAATCTCATAAAATTCCTATAAGAATCAGGATCTTCAATTGATATGATTGATATCTCCTTCAAGAGTCGTTTCGACGCACCCAGAAGAGTGGGTACTTCTACGTCTGATCCAATCTCTAACCCAAACTCGTTTTTTCCTATTTTTCTTGCGTTCTAGCACGCACTACCCTACTTGGAGCCATTTTATTTTCTACTGTTTGGCAAATAAACTTGAAAATATGTAAACACAAAACAATGAATAAGTCTAGTGACGGCAAGTACCTACTTTCCAAGTGTAAACGTAGCTTTAGGTAATTGTCTTTACGCCAGACTATAAAAAAGGTACCTAACAAATTTTGAAAAAATGGGATATAGTTATTTCCTTAACTAGTGCGCAAAGTGATACTTTTCCGCACGAAAAAGCAGTTAGACGAACGACGCGAAGCGGAGTTCGGATAAGCTTTGAGTGCGGGAAAGACACTTTGCGCAAATGTTAGGAACAATATTTTTTCTACGAGTATCTTAAAAAAGTAGACTTTGAATTGTTAAAATAGAAAAATCAATCAAATCAAAATCTTCATAAATCGTTTAAAATCTATTGCAATTCCTCAGAATGTCCCCAAATTTTTTTTACATCTTCTGGAATTTCTAGTATCAGCAAGAATATTTTCATGAGTCTCTTAAATATCAAAAATTTTAAAAATTCCTAGCAGTACAGGCTGGTCCAATTTGAACACCTTTGATAGGAAACATCCTCTCAACTATGCGTTAATTTCAACTAAAACCTTTCATTTTGAATATAAGTTTATTCAGAAACCATCAAAACATTGAAAAATCAAGTTATAACTATGGTAATTATGCGTAAACAGAAATGAATGCGCAAAGAGTTTCCGTGCGCAAAGTTCAACTTTGCGCACGCAAATGAGTGTGCAAAGTGATTACTTTGCGCACGCAAGTAGAAAAAAGTACTTTTACTTCTTTCTTGTTCAAAAGACTATTTCTAGGCGGGGCTAGGGGGGGGGCAAATGCCCCCCCCCAAACGACGCACGCCCATGAGATCACATTCTGATATCTTCAACTGTTTTGCCGCTAGAGGGCCTTTCTTGAATTTGTTAAAATACTCATGTCATAACTTTTTTGTTTATGAAAATAATTGATTTCTGTATAAACTTTCAGGAGGTAGTTTTTTCAGAGAATCTGGATCTAAGTTACTGATTGGCTGATTTTGCTGATTTCAATGATATGAGGTTTGATAGGTTTTTCTTTGATAGTTTTCGAAAATAAAAGTAAAATCAGTTTTTGTCATAAGAACTTGTTAAAAAAGTCCTTTATGTCGGTAGGGGAAATGTTTTTGTTGTCTTATGACTAAAACAGTAAGAGATAAACCTATTAAAACTTGTATCATTGAAATCAGTACAAACAGAGCTATCCAATGAGTTATTAATATATAGAGTGTCCCACTCAACAAAATAAGATGAGTCAATATGTTCAAGACTTGAAATCGGGAGCAAATAGAAAAAAATTAAGTAATCACGTCATTGGATTCTGCTTAAAATATTTAGTTCCCCTGGAAAGTTCATACAGAAATCACTTATTATCATAAAAAAAAGTTATGACGTCCTCTGGCGGCAAAACGGTTGAAGAAGTAAAGTAGGGGAGTTAATTTGTATAAATAAGACTTATAATTAAAAAAGAAAAACAAAAGTTTCCTTGACTTTTTTCGTTTATTTTATTCTATCACATTTGTATTTAAATCCTTTTTTACAGAATATAAGAATAGCGTTAAAACAAAGTAATAACATCTTGAAACTTAATAATATGTATTTGTATTTCTATAGTTAAAAGTGCGATTTGTATCTGTGTAAGCGTTGAACTAAACAAACTCACTGGAAAGGACGCCTGAGGCTATGGTTTGAGACCTATAAGCGACGCAAAGCAGACAGTCAGCTGTATGCGGCAGACTTACGTCAGAATCTAGAACACAAAAAGATGCGTAGCTGGTTTGTTAAAATTTGCTAAGGAGGACGCACAGTAGGCAGAAAACTATGTTCGTCGTCGGTTTAGTCGAAATCAAACTCGTTTTGATGTCAATGCAGTCGTTCCGCTGAGCTCACAGCCAAAAGTGCTAAAAAAGTTTTCACCAGAGTATTTGTATTCATTTCAGTATTTTTTCTATTGTTATCTTGAAAGGGCATTCAAAACGTGTGTTAGAAAACATTCGATTTTATTTTCTCTTTTGTCGACAAGAACCGATCAAATGTAAAAGTTCTTGTTCATGTTGTTCTTCTTCAAAAAATACTGCCAGCAAAAAATTGTTCATTCACAGCCATCATAAAGATAAATTGTCCGGAAAATATAGTATTATTGCACTTAGCAGCATACAATCAAATATTAATCCTAATAAAAACACCCTTCCTTCAGATTCTGCTGAACGTGTATGTTGCCTGCGGCGCACAGTTCTAACAAACTAAAGCTTAACGATGTACTGATTAGGTACGAGCCTGATGTGTGCAACCCGCAAATGTGAGGAATTTTTATATCAATTTTTCTCTTGCTGCTTATGAGACTTCGAAAGCCCTATACATTCAAATGTTCTGTTCTTTATAAAATATTCCAATATGAGAATGAGTTAATACACATTAAACTAATTCAAAAATGTGATATATGCGTGCACAATATACACTATAAAACTTGCAATGCACTACTGAACTATACCTAAAAAAAACACAATCTACTTGTTCACTTACTAGTACTTATAACTTAACTTTTGTCATAGAACACACAAATAAGTCCATCAAATAGGTAAGACAAGAACACACTTTGTATAAATGAAAAACCTACATACAGTTGATCATTATGATCATTATCTACCCAATGAGACTCGTCAAATAGTTTTTTTTTTGAGGTTATTTTTAAATGTAGTTATAGCAACGCATCTTATTGAATCAGCTAATTTATGATTTGAAACGATTATGAAATCGTACTCCTTCCAAAGCAAAAGACTCTGTGACCGTGTATTATAATTGTGGACCTTGCTAAGGAGGACAAATACGACATAGCTAAAGAATTTTTCATTTAATGTATGAGAATCATAGTTTGGTATTCCAAATCCAAATACTGTTCCACAAGCCAATTTAATGAGCGGAGCATGTTTTTAATTGATCTGTCTCTAAGTACACACAACATGCGAATGGCTTTATTTTGTAATTTCTCTAATATTTCTTTCTCATTTGTATTTGCCGTAAACATGGTAGACACAAATGTAAGATAAGGCAAAACCAGTACATTATGTACCACTTTCCGAGACCAACTGGGTCACAGATGGAGCAAGTCTACCCCGAAAAAAAATGGTTTTTCTAGAGATTTTATCACCTATGTATGACACATGTTCCTTAAATGAATGTCAATTATGAATTCAAGATATTTTATCAACAACTTAAATATCAGTTTTCCCAATCGCGATTTTATACTGTAGCAGAAATGCAGTAAGGTGTCATCAGCAAACAGATGGATCTTGGAGCTTGTAACTGTGGTAGTAATATCGTTAACAGAAATAGTAGTGTTCCTAAGGTACCTACTTCCTCCTGAAATACCATCGATATTTAGAATTTTTGAAAACGTTATTTTATTAACACAACTTGACTTGTTTTTCATTATACAAGTAGTTGCAGAGTACAGATGAGCTATTCCCAAGCTAGGACCCTAACACCGTATTTTTTAACTTATTCCTATGAATCGTCTCAAAAGCACGCTGAAAGTCTTAAAAGACTGCTCCAATCATTAGATTTTTATCTTTCTCATTCTTCCATTCACACAAAACATTTTGAACAGCAGTTTCGCAAATATGTACCTTTCTAAAACCCGCTTGGTTTATGTACAAAATATTGTTTTCTGATATATAGTCTAATTGCCCATAAACATCTTCCCGGCCATTCCTAACACGTTGATTAATTACTTGATGTTGAAGCGCGATTCACTCTGCTATCGGTATAGTATAACTGTCAATATTTTAAATTTTTTATTAGAGTGCTTCAGTGAATGGTGGCACTGGCACTGCATCCAATCTTAAACAGTTTAGCTTATGATCTAGGTCTGGTTTGGTAATCAATATCTTCAAAATCTTGGTGACTACAAATTCTACTTGAACGAGCTGGCTTCTGAGATTCTCGTTGTATTGCAGTTTTCCACAACTGGAAAATTTTAGGCATTCAAGCCTTTCAGAAGGAAATATATAAAAATGAATTAACCCCAATGTGAAACAAATTTAGTATTTCAAATGTTTACTGTATCCATATTATTATTTTCTCCATTAATCAGGTATACTTACACGTGTAACTGTATATTTGGATTTTTAGAGAATACATTTCTATTTTTATTATTAAAATACAATGCAAAAAAAGTCCTCTTCTCACAATCCTTTATTATTATTTAGCCCAACTTTATCTTTGCTTATCACAATATAGTTTAGATACCTCTTATAACTAGCCAACAAGATCAAAATAAAATTTAAACCTGATTGAAATACTAAAATATCGAACAGCTGGGTTGAAGAGATAAACAATAACGCTATAGAGAGATATAGGAAGCCGTCTCCTGTAGCCCTTCTCTTTCTAACAAATAAATTCATAGAGAACGCATTGGGCCTACTTTCCAGTGTGTTTGTTTAGTTCAATGATGTTAAGATGTACTTATAAATGTAGGATTGTTTTCAGAGCCAAATGTAGTGAGTCACACAGCTCATTCAGTAACAAGAAAAGGTGTGAAGAAACGAGACTTGAGCGACATCGAATTGAGAGAAATTTTGTCAGATTTACTCCCTTGGGTACGTATGGATCACGTGTTACCGCCAAACAGCGAAGTGCTACTTCAAGCTATTCGTCGCGGCTTAGTGAGTACTCCACCTAGTCACATGATTGGAGGAGAACGCGAAAACTTGCGCGTCAATGCATGGATTCGAGGACCAAAGAATAATGGACTTTTCGTTCAACCTCGATTGTTTATTCCTTATTATGATGAATTAAAAGTTCTTGTAGAGGATCAGTTAGTGCAGGAAGCAGAAATGGTTCATGGTAGGCGAATTCGTTGTGGTCCAGATCCTGATATTTCTTATATGGCGGAAACTCGAAATGGAACTTCTGGAGTTGACGTTTTGGGAGGCGCTCCACCTGTACCTGACACGGCTGCTCTGAATGCTATGTTGAAGCGAGAGCAGAAATTGCGACAAGCACCAGGTTGTCAACTTGCTTTAAGCATGCCCCTCGGTAGTCGGGCTGAAATTGGTCGTCAGATCCGATTGCGAGTTGTACGCGAATTTAACTTACCAGATAACGTAGCGGAAGCACTAGAAGCTTACCGTGTTGGCGCGCAGACTGAAGAGACCGCGGCTGCAGGCCGTCGGAGTCCTGCTCGGCGACGTCTCGCTACTCCCCCGCGCCGTATCGCAGAACCTCCTGATGGCTGTTTACCTGACGTAGCTATGGGTCCATCCTCACTGGGGCCTCCGCCAGCACCTTCTGAATTACGCTTAGATTTAGGAGACGGACCTCCGCCTCGCTCTGCCCCGCGTTCTGCTTATCGATTGTGTCCTCTGGGACCTCCGTTTGCACCTCCAGCTCCGGTTCCTCGTTTCTTATAGAATCGGCCCTCCACGTTTTCGGTATTCTCGCCAGACACTTGTATGTTTTTCTAGTAAAGTGTTCAGTGTTCATAAAAAAAAACTGATTGGCGAGTACAACTGGAAATTTTCCAATGTATACAATTGTTCCAATCGCTTATTGAGGTTAGATATTTGAAAAAATCTCCTCTGTATGTTCTGTATATATCTCAAGCATTCTGTTATTATGGTAAATCTGTGATTCTCTGAAAAAAAAAAACGTAATTGATAATTTTTATTCCTTGGATTATACGTTGTTACTTTCCATATTAAGTGCGGACCAATAATTTGTTAAAATAGTCATGATTACTCATGATCACAAAAAAATACGTATTTTATGGCAAAAATCCTACTTTAAATTTTTCAATTGATACAATAGCACTTCGGCTTTTGACGATTTAAGAAATATATTCTCACTTATTAAGCTTATTGAGTCATAATAGTCCTGGAATTATCCAGGATATGATAACTAGTCTTCAAAGCATATCAAAATGTCATGTCAAAAATCCTGATCAATAAATAAATAATAATGCGACGTACGTTTTCGTAATCAAAGCACTTTCTGATACGGTTTTTACCGTTTTAATACCGTTTTAATATTTTACCCAGTTTACCTATAGGTGAAATTTTTTAATTTCTCCAACGTTGCCAATAAATACTGCACCGACGTTTCATTTTTGAAATTGAACAAAAATTATTACTGATATGCTTTTGCAGTTGCACCAGTTTCTATATTCAAAGAACTCATTTGATATATTTATAAAAAGTTATCGTCATTTCATTTCACCCAAAAAAGTGGTCATTATGTCTGTGACAAATGAACATAATTTTGCGCTAGTTGCTCATTATAACGAAACGACAAATAAAGTAGAATTTAATTTTATATTGCTACAGCCAGATTGAAATGTCATTGGGTTTTGGGAAGCCCGATTTGAAAAATTACTAATTCCTGTTGAACATTGTGTGTTTATTGGCCATGTTTGAAATCTGGATTATTTTTGAGGAGCACTTAAATTCGTCAGCTCAGTGTTTGAAGATTTATACACAAATAAAGAACTGTTTGTGAAATCTTTCAATTTTTTTGCATTAAATATTCCATTATGACAGGCAGTGGACACAGTATTTCCTCAATAATAAAATAGGTATTTTTTTGTATGATAAGCCAATTTACAGTTAATTCTATAGTTGTCAAAAGTGGTAACAAGATATCCCAAAAAAAAGGGGAGTAATAATACTAATTGATGGTCCTCAACAGTATCACTAAGTTACTTAATGTACAAACAATGTGACGTATAAAAATCTGTGTTAATCTACCTGTGTCTGTTGTCTTAGATGTTTCTGTATTGCTGTTGAACATGTATATAGTCATTTAGCAAATTTTGCAAATGGGTAATTTTTTAATTTATGATTGTTAATTTTTTGCCATTAGTTTTTCAATAAAATATACGAGCCTACATTTTTTTTTTTGGGTAAAAATACAAATTACCTATAAGTTTTTGCATTTTTATGTTTTATTTGGAAACAGTAACCAAGTTTTGCTAGTGGCCGTCACATTTAGAATGTTATTATTTTATATCTATAATTCATATGAACACATTCTAGGACAATATTGTACTTATTACCTTGGCTCTCTTTTTCAGTACAAACAGCTTCCATGACCATTTAAAGCAAATTTTTACCAAAACTACGCAATTGTAAAATTTGCTTCTAAATTACACTGTTTCAACAATAGGTATCCCTAAGGTATTTTTCCTATTTTGTACATTGCGTTTCCTCATTCATTTTGTATAGTTTTTCGTCCCATTTTATTTAGTTCACCATGTGTCTAAACGGTCTCATAAAAACCTAAGAATTATTTTACAGAAGAATTACAGAACCTAAACATTCACGAAAAAAATCCTCTGTGTTTATGTGTTCATTCAAAAAGTACACTAATGTGTTATTTTTTTGAAATTGAAATGAAAAGCAAAACTTTTTGTTCTCATGGCACTAAGGTTAAATGTTCATATTTTAACAAACTAAACGCAAAGTATGAAGTGGCAACAAATCCTTAATACGTGCAATATGTACTTACTCCAATCTTATGAGTGATTTTGTATTTATTTTTTAGACATTTTTTTGTTTTACTATATTGTTTTCTTACTTCTGAAGTAGGTTTGTATTTGTTAATTAAATATTTATTTTTGTGGCGCAAACTGCTTAGAAATCCAAGAGATCTTAATTTTGCAAAAATTGTATAGACTAAAAACGTTGTTTTAAATTTACACATACATTTTTTTTCCTGAAATATAAGAGTTTAATTTATTTGAGGAATTGAATTGTTATTTTTCCAAAGAAGAGGGAGAATAGGCATAAACAAATTAGTTTCATAGTATAAATTAGTATAATATGGAGTATTGTGGGGATGAGTGATCTAAAAAGACTATTATATTAAAAATATGATATTGTTGTAAGTTTTCTCTTTTTAAATTATTCGTTTTTATTGAGCATATTTTGTAGTTTGTTTTAAAATTGTGTGGGGTTGTGACAGACAACGAAACGATACGACAAAAAAGCCAAAAGGGCGTTTTTTTCTAAATGCTCTGCAGTACTCTTTTTTGATATTTAGGTTCACCAATTATCTGTGATTTTTGTGTTTGTTGGTTCCAAGTTTCTTTTGTAATTTTTATCTTAGGGGATTGGATTTTGTGATAATGTATATCTATTTGTAATCTACTTTTCTGACTGTTTATGCCACTTATCTATTCCTTTTTTAGTTGCTGAATAGTATTTTTTTTTTTTTTAATTTTAACATTGCTTTGGCTTGGGTAAATATAAAATTTTGTAGGAAACTCACCTGTGCACAATAATTTCTTATCTTTTAAAATACATAATTCATAATTCACATTCTGTATTCTAGTAGGTACTGTACCACTTTTGTGAGGCATTATAATAAATGATATGTTTTAAGTCACAATCCAGAAAACCTAAAATTTAGGAGAGGCCAAACTAAACTGTAACCCTTTGAGCAATAATTTAATATAATGTGGTGGTAAGAAGTCCTTCACCATTTTTTTTATTGGTTGATTCTCTGCACTTTTAAGAAAACTTTTCATTTTGAAGTCAATTTACAAAATGCATAGGTACCCCAATTATGTAGTTTTTATTTTAAATATATATTTTTGAATTTAGGAGAAGTTTTTTAATGGTAATATTTCTTTGATTTAAAAATATACAATTGATAATATGTTTTATAAATTCGTTTTTTAGTTGTTTACTTTGTGCTCATAAGCTCTATGAAATTTCACGTTTCCATACAATATTTAACTCATGCCCTAATTAAATGACTGATAGCATAGTAATGGAAGTACATGTCTAATGTATATACGTATCTGAACATTTTGAAACCAAAGCAAAATTCAATTTAATTATTGAGAGTGATTAATCAATCAAATCATATTAATCAAATTAGGAATTTTATGTTTTGATGAATACTCAAGTTAATTTGTAAACTTACTTTTATTTCTCTAAACGCACTTAAATAGAATTTCATCTGCCGATCAATGCAATATTAAATCTTTTTAATTATTATTTTACTGAACAAAAAATGGTGTTCTTGTTTTAAGTATGTTTGTGAAATGTAAATTGATATTTTAGTAATTATTATTGAAAGAAGCGAGCAGTCAGTGTCTGTTATACCAAAATTTTGAATAGCTGCTTTTTTGTAAGTCATCAATAATTTGTTGCTTGTAGATGTACATTTAATCATTGTTAATGCCGTATATTAGTTGTAATTTTAATAACTTATTTATCCTTGTAAATAAAATATTACCTATTATTGAAATAATTTTTTTTGTTTCATTATTCAAAGTCCATTGGAATATATTTTGAAAGCAAGGTGCAAGGTGCCACAGTCCTGGCGCTCCTGCCATCCAGCTTCAGGATGCTGTTGGCTAGTCATTCGAAAATCAGTTTCAAAATCAAACCAATTCAAAAAAAGTTTTATTTTTCGAAGAATGTACAATTCTTTTTTAAAAAGCAGGCCTTAATACTAAATATTTCCGTTAGGTTTCAAGTTAAGGTTGAAACATTTATGGAAGGAGTAGGACTGTACTTTTGTCGGGTTCAGATCCTCGGAAATAAAGATTCTTTAACTGAAGGATCGAGTAATGGTATTTCATTATAACAAATAATGCAAATGTTATTATTATTTGTTTTTTCTCAGCATTTAAACTGGACTAAGGATAAAGTGCGTGCGGCAGCTAAAACACTTTGAAACATAGGAATTTTCTGGTAATGTTGGGTGTATTTAGAATGACGACATTCTGCATTTGCAGTCCTGTGGCTACGATTTTCGGAGCGAAGATCACAAGCGGCACAACGTGGACTTCGGTTAACTTCCAGATTCGCTTGACTTCAAATTTAAATAATATGCGTGTATTTTTGCATATTCTCATCTACATATAGTCTTGTTTTAATTTCATTGGTTCTTTTTTGGCTTTCCAAAATATTCAGCTTGTTTTTTACAGTCCGAAATGAATGTTCACACTAGTCAGCACTTCCTATTGATTGCCTAGTCTGTTTTTGAATGAGTTAATACTTTGAGTGCTCACAGTGTTTTCCGATTAATGCATTCCAATGATAGACAATTCTATTTGTCAAAAAGTTTTCACAGGGTAGTTTTGCGTTCTTTTCCTTTTCCAGTTTTTTGCTGTGTCCTCGAAGGTGTACGTTTGCATTCGCATGGAAAATATTGAGAATAGAGTTATAATGGTTTTAAAATTTTGTAGGTCTCAACAAGATCTCCTCTTAAACGCCTTTCTTTTAGAGTTGTCAACTTTAGTCTTTGTAGTCTTGTAGTAAGTATAGTCAAAGATAATCCTACTCTGTATATTCTAACTGTGATAATTCTGGTGGTATTATTGTTACGCGTCTTTGAACTTTTTCTAAAAGCTCGATGTCTTACAAAGTAAGGGTTCCATGTTCTATATTGTTTCGCTATATTCAAGTTTTGGTCTAATATAAGTTCTATATAGTTTCAATATGGTGTCCATTGAGTGGTCTAAAAGTGCTTTTTGGATACAATAAATAACGAGTTTGCTTTTTTTTACAATCCTATGAATATGTGGTTTCCATTTGAGGTCTGCGCTGATGATGTCGCCTAAAACACTCTGTTGTTCGACATTATTTAGATTGGAACTATTTAGTGAATAGGTTGTATTTGCGTTGTTTATTCGATCTTCTTGTAGCTCTTTAGACTTAGTTCTGGAACTTGCAAACAGCTTAGTGTCATCGGCAAAAAATCTACGTGTTTTTATTTCCATTGCCAAGTCGCTGATATACACTGAAAAGAACAGAGGACCAAGCACTGTACTTTGGACTATCCCGCTGAGAGTCACATGTACGTCAGATAGTAAGTCCATCTGTTCTTGTTTGAAAAGTTGATTTCTTCAAAAAGAAGGAGCGACGACCAAATAGATTACCGTCAATAACATAATGGTGTATCTTATGAAGCAATTTATTCAATGGCACTTTGTCAAATACTTTCTCAAAATCTAAGTAGAGTAGACGATGTCGGTTTGTTCATTACTATCAAAGCTTTGTGTCCCAGGTGTACAAAACGTTGTGAGGTTGGTAATGGTCGACATTTTTGGAAGGAAACCATGAGCTGCGTCAAGTTAGCCCCCCCACATTCGAATTTTCTAAAAAAATTGCAACCACTTACTGTGCTCGAAGTGTGCTCTACTGTGCCGATGATATTTTGAACTGTGCCGTTTCGATAACAAAGTTATAGGAAAAAATAGATGAGGGGCTAACTTGACGCTCAGCCCCCCCAAAATTTTGGAAATCAGATGAAACCAAAAAGGATTCTTATCCAATCTGAAGTGTGCTGAACTGTGCCTGTATCAGGTTTTTCTCAAAATTTCCATATTCGGTCATTTTCCGACAAAATCCTACTGGGGGGCTAACTTGACGCTCAGCCCCCCCAAAATTTTGGAAATCAGATTAAACAGAATTGAATTTTTATCCAATCTCAGTGTGCTGAACTGTGCTGTATCAGGTTTTTCTCAAAATTTCCATATTCCGGTCATTTTCCAACAAAATCCTACTGGGGGGCTAACTTTGAGGGTCAGCCCCCCCAAAAATTTCGAAAATCAGTTTGAATAAAATTGAATTCTTATCCAATCTGAAGTGTGCTGAACTGTGCTGTATCAGGTTTTTCTCAAAATTTCCATATTCGGTCATTTTCCGACAAAATCCTACTAGGGGGCTAACTTGACGCTCAGCCCCCCCAAAATTTTGGAAATCAGATTAAACAAAATTGAATTCTTATCCAATCTGAAGTGTGTTGAACTGTGCTGTATCAGGTTTTTCTGAAAATTTGCATATTCGGTCATTTTCCGACAAAATCCTGCTGGGGACTAACTTGACGCTCAGCCCCCCCAAAATTTCGAAAATCACTTTGCACAAAATTGAATTCTCATCCAATCTGAAGTGTGCTGAATTGTGCTGTACCAGCTTTTCTCGAAATTTCCATATTCGGTCATTTTCCGACAGGGGGTCTGAGCGTCAAGTAAGCCCCCCAGTAGGATTTTGTCGGAAAATGACCGAATATGGAAATTTTGAGAAAAACCTGATACGGCAGAGTTCAGCACACTTCAGATTGGATAGGAATTCAATTTTGTTTAATCTGATTCCCAAAATTTTGGGGGGGCTGAGCGTCAAGTTAGCCCCCCAGTAGGATTTTGTTGGAAAATGACCGAATATGGAAATTTTGAGAAAAACCTAATGCAGCACAGTTCAGCACACTGTAGATTGGATAAGAATTCAATTCTGTTTAATCTGATTTCCAAAATTTTTGGGGGGCTGAGCGTCAAGTAAGCCCCCCAGTAGGATTTTGTCGGAAAATGACCGAATATGGAAATTTTGAGAAAAACCTGATACGGCACAGTTCAGCACACTTCAGATTGGATAAGAATCCTTTTTGGTTTCATCTGATTTCCAAAATTTTGGGGGGGGCTGAGCGTCAAGTTAGCCCCTCATCTATTTTTTCCTATAACTTTGTTATCGAAACGGCACAGTTCAAATTATCATCGGCACAGTAAAGCACACTTCGAGCACAGTAAGTGGTTGCAATTTTTTTAGAAAATTTGAATGTGGGGGGCTAACTTGACGGAGCCGGAATCCATGTTGATGATCTGTCATGGCCCCATTTTCAAAAAGGAATGGTGTTAACTCTCTTGTAATTACCTTCTCAAAACATTTGCAAATATTGGAAATTAAACTTATTGGTCTTTAGTCAGAAAGCAGCTAGTTGTTTAATGCCCTTTTTGTAAAGTGGGTTAATAGCATGTGGTCCATATGTCTGGTAGTCTTCCACTCTCCAATATCTCATTCATGGCGCCTGCTAGAGGTTTGGTTTGGTTATTGCTTCGTTGCAATTTTGGAGAAATACTACCGAAATGTTATCGGGACCGGAGCCGGCGTCTTTCTTTAAGCAATTAATGGCCTCAAAAACCTCTTATAAAAACGAGTTAATCTGTTGTTGATTCAGTAAGTTCTCGGAGATCTATGGATCGTCGTCTCTCGAGAAAATTCTGGTGAATTGTTGTGTAATTTTTTCTGCTATCGCGTAGTCATCCGTAATTGGAGTTCCCGTGTCCAGATCTTTTAAAACGTAATTTTGGAGACTGGATTATTAATCCGCTCCCATAGCAAATTCACTACGGGTGCTCAAGACCCAATTGCCCCCATGCTGATGACTGTTATTAACTTTAGAACGTTCACCCAATGGTCCGGTCTATAATTTATACATATACAAGCTGGCAACACGAACCAAATTCAGCTCACAGAACTTTAGATTGACCTATCTTCAAGCCAGGGATGGAGTAAGTACAAAGAAAAAGAAGAATGCTGAGCCAGCAATGAATGTGGATACTGAAATCAATCGAAATGGGATAGTTAGCAAAATCTTACAACACCACAGCCTTCTTTGCTATAAACTTGTAGTGATTTTACAGTTTGCAATTTTTATCTCCAATTCTTGGAGTCATCTTCAGAATTACCAACTACAGAAATAATAATGAATGTTAGCTGTTTTATAAATTAAGGTGATTTTTTTCTATTTCCAGACCTAAGTAAATGAATTGAAAATAAACTATATTGATAAAAAATCCGAACCAAATATAAATATCGTTACGAAATTGCCTCGAGAGCCCGGCCGAATAAAAGCGCCTAATCCTAAAAGAAATTACAATTATTACAAACTTATTTAAAGCATGAAGAATAAAAATAACAGACAGGATCGGCGAAATCAAGCCAAAAAAAAAGAGAAAAACACGACACAAAACTGTCCAACAAAGAAACAGTTGCAAATCCACCAACTCCAATGGCGATTTCCATGTGTCAATCAGTGCGCACTGAGTGTATCCGCATCTTTTTCTGAAAGCATGTAACATGTAAGGATAAGGATACATTTTTTTTGCACTGGTTTGACAAATGGAAAACGCTTTGAAAAACATCGCTATAGTACTCGGTCAATCTGTAGTAGGCTCGTCCGACCAGAAACTCTCTCAGACGGTTTCTAAGCAATCTGTGTTGTGGCCTCCCTGACACTGCTTGGTAGGTGATTAATTATACACCTTAATCATAAAAAATCGATTTCTGGGTTAATAGACAGATCCGGGGTGCATTTTCGACTATGGATAGCGCGTTGTACTAGGTATTGAGTTAGTCAGTCTAAATAAAACCTTTGTTGTGAGCAGTTTAAATAAGAGTGTTTTCTTGAAAATTCTAGAAACTTCTATAGAATTCTACTCAACAACCGTAAGTGATCCAAGA